ATCGCATGCGACGAACCGAAGCTTCGGCACGAGCTCTTGAGAGGCAAATCCTGAGACGTCGACACCTACCCCGCAAAACGAAGATCAAGTACGTGCACGCCCTCTCGACCGCCTCATTGACCTTCAACCATCACGTCTGGCCAGCACTGACCCAGACCGACCACCAGCGCATCTCCAACGCCTACTCGAAGCCCTACCGCACGGCAGCCGGACTACCCAAGACGAACTCGCACCTTCATCATTTCACGGCCACCGAAGTAGTAGCTTACACAGGCATCCCCGACTTCGACCACCACCAGTCTGCTGGACGGTTGCGATACTTACCACGGCTTCTACGACACGCTCCTCAACAGCTCCTCCAACTGCTTGACAACCAGCGACGGAGAAAGGGCTCATGGACATACATGCTTTTCCAGGACTTCGACTTCCTGCGCGCATACCTGGACGACCAGCGCTGGCCCACGACAAGCAAGCTCGACCCAGACGTGTTTTCATGGGCTCGCACCACGCCGAAGCACTTCACCAACTCCGTCAACCTGGCCGTCACAAACTACATCCGCGCCTCTAAAGACCACGCCCACGCCGACAAGCTTACGAAGGTGCTCAGACCCGACGGCCCCACTGGTGCGGACACTACGCCATCGCGCGACAACGGCGCCTGCAACTTCATCTGCTACGAGTGCGGAATTGTAACCAAGACAAAGCAGGGCATGGCAATACACATCGGACGTGAACACCGACGACCTGATCATCCGCGAAACTGGGCATCGGGTACATCGTGCAGAATATGCCGCCAGAACTTCCACTCCTTCGCCAAGCTAGTGAAGCATCTAACCACGGTAGCCCGCTGCCGACGGTCATGGCACATGTGGTACTTACAGGGACCTGCCCTCACGGAGGAGGAAGTGGCCGCCAACCAGGCGATCTACGCGACCAGCATAGCCGACAACAAACGCAGAGGACGCCCCGAACTATACCACCATATCCCAGCCCATGCATCCGACGTCACTCCCTTACCATCCCTTGACCTATCACCTTCACCACCGCCATTCTTCCCGACTGTACCAGAGCTCACACCACCACCACCAGCCCACCACCCTCGAACACCGACCAGAAACAAATCTATTTATTACCTCACCAACACAGAGAGACACCCTAACGATCTGCTCGACATCACGGACCAACGACTATGCTATAAGGGAATGGTGATGGAACGAGTTATCATGACCTTCGATGATCTTTACTCTCTCGACCACCCATCTCAGCACGACGCCCTCGACTCGATCCACCAGCACATTCGACAAGGCGACTTCGCGGGAGTGATGATCAACCTCTCGCCAAGAACGTGGATCGACCTAGGCGACGGCGACCAGCACGACAGAAAAGCAGCATCTTCAAGGACAACCACGGACCCCTGGGGCAGAGTAAGCCTTGGAGGCGAGGCAGCCGAACGACGACTGATCGCGAACCACCATGCCCGCATCGCCATCCACACCTTCCACGCGGCTCACGTCGCCGAGGTACCAGTACTACTGGCGCAATCTGCAGCCCCAGCAGGTCCATCCCTGTTTTGGAACACTGAGATGATGCTCTACGCGACGGAGAGTCTCACCACGAGAAGACCTACCGCGCTAGACGTCACCAGCAGCATCTATGCAATACACTACGGCCTCTCCCAGGAGCACGGCAACTCACTCGACGATTTCGTCGACTCCATTGTGGACCACTAACCACATCATGGAGACCTCCAACCACAACATCAGGGAGACCGCCAACCACATCGTGAACGCCCCCTCTATGGAGAGGGGGGAGAGGACACGGTCCAGGCCTGACCTGGGCCGCCGCCCGCGGGCAGGTCATCATGGGGGTGGCTTTCCTTACTCCTCAGGCCTTTAATGAGCCCCCTCCCACCTCTCCACTTTGCCACCCCCATGTGGCCACTCCCCTCTCCTCTTTAGCGTCTTCCTCCTCCCCCTCCCTGAAACTCCTGGGAGTCTCCTGGGCCCTCTCCTGGGCCTTTCTTTTTTCGCCCTTTTTGGCCCCCGCCCCCTCCCTCGCGGAGCCTAGATGGCTCCTTCCCTGGGCATCCTGGCGGGGGTCTGTGTAGGGGGAGGTGGTCCCCCCAGCGCGCCTTCGGCGCACGCGCGGGCCCGCCCGCGCGGACGGCTGCGTCCCGCGAGGACATTGAGCCGCGAGCGAAGCGAAGCGAAGGAGGAGGAGGCAGCCCTTCGGAGGCTGCGTTCGGGGTTCGAGGTTTTCAGGCGTGTCCGTCGGCCCCCGGCGGTTTGCGAGCCTCGGGACCCAGGCATGATCGCGTCGTTTAAAAAAATCAGGACGGGAGGTTTTTGGCCATGTTCGGCCCCGGGATGGTGCCCTCGCTGGGCCTCGGGGCCGTCAAAGAGCGACTCGGGACGAAAAACCGGTCCCGGGGAAAGGGTCGGGGCTTCCAGGGGCGCCGTCCTCGGGGGCGGAAAAGAGGGGGGTGATGACTAGGGGGGGGTGGATATCATGGCGGGGGCCATGATATTTCCCCAGATTTCATGGCGCCCCTTCTTACTTCATTACGTAAGTGGCCCCCCCGCTGAGCCGCGCACATGCCGCTGGTCATGATTTGCACCCCCCCCCTCTTGGACACCCCCCTCTTGGCCGCTCCCGACGTCCTGAAAAAATCAGGACGTCGCACGTCTGAGGGCGTGTCCGGCGGCCCTCGGCGTTCTGCCGGCCTCGGGGTGCTCTCCGGCAGCGGCGCTCCGTCGAGAGCGTTTTCTGGGGACGCCCGGGTCCCCGAGCGGCCGCCATGGAGGCCCGGGCCATGGCCCGGACACCACCAGAGACGGGGACAGTCTCGATTAGACGTAGGAGTGACCTTTCGCCGGAGTGACCTTTGGTGCGGGCACAGATGGGCCCTCAGAGGGCTGAAAACGAAGCGGTGGCAGCGGCCTGCGCGCCCAGGTTTGGTCTCCCCGCGGCCCCCGGAAAGCCGCGCACCAAAGGTCACTCTTACCCAGCGTCACTCTTGCGTGTACACCTTAGGCGATGCTTAAGAAAACTTAAGTTTTCGGCCAGAGTCTCAGTTATTCTTAATGTTTCAATGTAAATCCTGAGATGTTCATGGAAATGTTTGGTTTTTTAAGCAAGTTCTGAGACTATGAATTTCTTAACCCATGATTTCTTAAGCATTTCGCAGGGTGTAGCCGATAGTCCCAGAGGGGAGCGCAATGACCCCCCCCCCAAGCGCCCACTCGTGGCCGACAGGGGCTTGGTGGCCCACCCCGCCTGGGAAGGTGCGGAAATTGCCATCGGGGGCTCGTCAGCGACCCGTCGGCGGCGCGCCGCCGACTCCAAGCCGAGGCTTCCCCGCCCGAGCCAGCCGCCCCCCCCTCCCCCCCCCTCTCGTTGCCCCTCGAGTCCGCGGTTCTGTTCTGAAGCGCATCCTTTCCAACAGGTTCGTGCGCATGCAGAGTTCGCCAGCCTCGAGCGTATCCCTGTCCCCAAGATCGACGCGCTACAAGGAGAGGACCATCTCAGAGAGACACCCTCCGAAACGGAGGAGAAAACCCAGGGATGCACCCTCC